ATCTTGAATATGCTTATAAACACAAGGTTCATCCATATTCTGTTGGAATCCAAAAGTCTTGACCACTTGGTCAAATCTTTTATTCCAAGAACAGGAAGCTTGCTTTAATCCATAAATGGATTTCAGCAACTTGCAAACTTTTCCCTCTTGACCTTTAGCCCCAAAGCCTTCTGGTTGTATCATATAGATACTTTCCTCAAGATGGCCATTCAAGAACGCCGTCTTGACATCCATTTGTCAGATCTCGTAGTCGAGAGCAGCCGCAATGGATAAGAGAATGCGGATGGACTTAAGCATGGCTACAGGCGAAAAGGTTTCCTTGTAGTCGATTCCCTCCTTTTGTGTGTATCCCTTAGCTACAAGTCTAGCCTTATAGGTTTCGACATTTCCTTCTGCATTTCTCTTTCTCTTGTAGACCCATTTACACCCAATGGGCTTAATCCCATCAGGAAGATCTACAAGTTTTCAGACTAGATTAAAATCTATAGATTTCATCTCAGCTTTCATGGCTTCTGTCCAGAGGTTTGCATCAACATCCTCCATAGCTTCTTTATAAGTATAAGGATCTCTGTCATGTTCCAGAGATTCTGCCAAAAAGGTTTCCCCATTAGCCACGAATCTCTCAGGTTCATGTCTGATCCTCCCACTACGCCGAAGCCCCTTAGGTTGTTGTTGGGTTTCCTTTTCTACTCTGATTGGATCGATTTCCAAAGGAACAATCGGTATGACCAAGTCACTTGATATTTTCTCAAGCACCATTTTGCTACGAGGCTTAAAGTCGTTCATGTAACTTTCCTCAAGGAATGTTGCATTCGTTGAAATCACGTCTTTATTTTCCTTGGGGTTATAGAAATAACCCCCTTTCGTCCTTCTCGGATAACCTATAAAAATGCACACTTCTGAATGTGCTTCCAACTTGTTCGCTTCCTTGTCCAGGACATGTGCATGACATACCCATATGCGAATATGGTTCAAAGATGTCTTCCTGCCCGTCCACAACTCGTGAGGAGTTTTAGGAACCGACTTTGTTGACACGTTATTCAGAAGATAACATGCAGTTTGTAAAGCATATCCCCAAAAAGATATAGGCAATGTCGAATAATTCATCATGACCCGTACCATGTCCAACAAGGTCCTATTTCTTCTCTCAGCTACACCATTCTGCTGTGGAGTGCCAGGTGCAGTTAAATGAGATAGAATCCCATTCTCTAATAAGTATCCAGTGAACTCATCAGAGAGGTATTCTCCACCTCGATCGGATCGAAGTGCCTTTATGGGTTTACCTAGTTGCTTTTCCACTTCAGTTCGAAACTCCTTGAATTTATCAAAAGTTTCGCTTTTGTAGCGCAATAGGTACACATAATCATATCTTGAGTAATCGTTAATAAAAGTGACGTAATACTCATACCTTCTCTTGCCTTGATATTCATGGGACTACAAACATCACTATGGACAAGTTCAAGAACATCTTCAGCCCTATTGCCTTTAGACCCAAATGGTCTTTTGGTCATTTTACCTTCCAAACAAGATTCACATTGGGGCAAGGACTCAACCTTTAAAGAACTTAAAAGTCCATCATTTACCAACATTTGTATCCTGTTAAGGCTAATGTGACCAAGTCACAAATGCCAAAGATATGTCTCATTAGAGTAAATCGAAAACACACGTAAATTGAAAATGGTTCTAATCTCATAGTTCTAATCTATGAACCAAACGGGCTCTTTAAATAGAGAAAAAAAAATCTACTAGCCCTCATTTTTACTTAATGAAAATCAATCTTAAACTTTTAAAAATCTAAATTGCAACTTGATTAATTAGGCTCCTGTTCTTGGTTTAAATTTTTTTTTAAAGTAAAAAGATCCATCTTTATGGTTGACTGATGAAGGAATCATGGAGATGATTGTCTGAGAAGGTAAAAATTAATGCTTGTCCTTCCACCCGGAAAGAATTAACGATTGTCCATTTGGTATAGTTGCTTCTTGGCAACGGTGGAGTTGGAGTAAATCCCAAGATTTGGGTAAAACCCATGTAATCAGCCTAGATTTCGGCATTTAATCCAACCAGAAAAATGTTTTATTTTTATGATCTGGGCAAATGTTTCCAAAATCAGAGGTGAAAGAAAGATGGGCACACAAGTGTTGGGATGACGAGTGGCGGATGGAAAATAGGAGAAAATAAAGAGGAAGAGAGTTATTTCATAATTGCAGTTAATGGTTGCCTTCAGGCTCAGCTGCCCCTTCTCGCCCCCTTAACCACCCGGCGGCTCACCTTCGTCCGCAGAGAACTACCAGACCAGTCTCAGGATGTTCGAGGAAACCTCCAAGGTGGTGTCGTTTTGAGGCCTACAGTTCTTGCCTATTAAGGTTGTTTTTGTTTGGAGGGTGCTCTTAATGGAAAGGTAACTGGCCGGAGGATGTTAAGAGACATTGAGAGAGAGAGAGAGATCGGTTTTAAGGGAGGAGCTAAGCTAAAGTGTTGATATTTTTTTTTTCCTCTTCTTCTTTATTTTTATTATTATTATTATTATTATTATTATTATTTTTTAATGAGAGTTTTCTTTTAAAAATAGGTTGTCTTTAAAGAACGTTTTTTTATCTATAAGGGCATTTGAGTCATTTTGATAGTTCAAATTAACCATTAACAGTGAAAGGCAGCTTGAAATCATTACATGAATCAAATTGCAATTTATTAATGGATCATTCACATATATGCATAAAAAAATGAAAAAAAAAAAACAAATAAACTACTAGCTTCTAACTCAATTGTTGAAGAAAAACTACGTATTAACTTTTATATACTCCTCTAAAATAGATGCACATTCTTTTTCTTTATTCTTCAACCGATGAATTATATTGGGCAAGGTTTTTGATGGCTTTTCGCGTAACATTGCTATCGTATTCGAGCCCCATACGCCGTATATTTATTCAATGCGTCTTCGATTTATAGGAGATAGATATTTATCGATAGATTCTTGAATATCCAACTCATCATATTCTAATGTTTGGAGCTTAGCCAACAACTCCTTTGCCTTCTTAGCAGCTAATTTCATGCGTTCGTAAAAAACCTCAATTTCATATCTATCATCCTCTAAATGATTTAATACTTTTTCCGAGTCATTTTGTTCAATATATTTAGAGGTGAATTTGGCAGTTATCATAATGCACTGCACGTTCAACACATCCCTACAAATCTCGGCCATCAATTTGTCCTCTTCCTTCTTACTTAATTGATCCTCATTAGATTCAACCTCACTTGTTTGATCATTCAATCCTTTGCTGTCACGATCTGATTTGACCTTACTTGTTTGATCCTTCTCGGGTAAAAGTCGATAATTTGGGGTGCAAGTTTCGTAGTTCGAGACCTCAACTGACGACTTGGTAGCCATTGATTGTTTCAAGAAAAGCCTTTTGAAATCTTTATACAAATTAGGGCGAGTAGCAAAAATTTTCTTGATCATCACAAACCCGTCTTTGATCTACATGTCCCTTCCAAAAGGATTTCAAAGCTTGTAGAAACTTTTTGTACATATTCTCATTGTCGTTTTGAGAACAAAGCTTAATCTTATTAAGAAAATTCCTCGCTTGACGTTCTAGAGATTTCATATCTGTATCTTCTTCCATAGCAATATTACTCCTAATCAAGCGTCTGAAAGAAATAAAAGCAGAAATAAAGAGATGTCATTAAAAAATTCTGAACCAAGTGAATTTATATAGTCAATTATTACAAGTTCGAAATGTTTTGGGATACTAATTCCTCAATATTATTATGACTCCCATACTAAGTCGAGATAGCAGGATCATGTTATCCAAATGCTTTTTTGATTAGTAAAAATAAAATAAAATAATTTAAAAAGAAAATTACAGAATTTTATACTGAGCGTGAATTTTACCATTCACTCATTCATAACCCATACCCATTGGCAATACCACGGCAGCGGCATAACCTTTACGACATCGTTTTGGAATTCCCAAAAACAACGCTCTTTGTTTTTGGTCCTTGTCGTCGTTGTTTTTGCGTTGGGAAGTAAAATCGCATCGTTCCATCTTCATCGTTTGTTCAATCATTCTGGAGGCTTGAACCTGAGAAAAAGAGGAGGAAGAAGAAGAAGCCCTAAATCCAAATCTAAATCCAAATCAGAATCTGAATCAAAAGAAAGATGCTGCGAATTGCAGGGAAGAGATTGTCGTCGTCAGCGATTCCATGGCTGAGGCCTCTCCAGACAACAACAGCCTCAGCTTCTTCTCTCATATCTCCCAATCCAAGAGATGATCGCCATTCCTCTTCTTCTAGATCTCCCTCCTTCTTCTCCTCCTCTTTCAATCCTCACGCTCTTTCTGCTTTTCTCAGAGGTCTTTTTCTCTCTCTCCCTCTTATTTACGGGGTTTTCCCTTGATCCCAATGCTTACGATTTTTGTTTTCATTCATTCAATTGATTAACAAAATTCGTTGTTTATTTATTTTTTTGATTTATTAAATTGAAAAATGGTTGGTCTTTGTATCGAAAGGTGGAAACTTAGGGATGTAAATTTGTGATTTGTCGATTGAATTGGGAATTTGAATGACTATTCTGTGATTTTTCTTGAAACTTCTTATGCTTTTGGTTTTTCTATTGATTTTTCAACTTCCAATAAGGATCTTTGTGCTTTCCTATTGTTTATTGCTGCGGTTATAATGATTGGAGTTTTGGAGTTTTAGGGTTGTGATTTGGCTTCCTTATTTTATCCGTTCGCTTTTAGGCTGGCTGAAATTTCAGCGAGCTTAAACATGAAGAGAGTAGGTACCTTTGGCATTTATGCAATCTGCGTGACACAATTTGTGTATCCAGAAAATTCCTGTGGCACATATGTATCACAGAAGTTAATGAGTCTTGAAACACTCCTTTTCATTTCCTATGTAACTGGCTCTTTATGATCTTATAAGTTTCTGCTTGGTTATGTGCGTAATTCATAACTTGTTTCTTTCAAAGTCAAGTTAGAATATAGTAACGTGTTTCTAGCTGATTAGTAATTTGCCTCGTGATGCATCTTTTTGGGGAAACATGGTATTCAGGATTTTCTTGTGAAGCTCTTGTTCCTGGACATGATATTGGAGCGATCTCTGAACTTCCAGCTACTGTTGCAGCCGTGAAGAACCCCACTTCAAAAATCGTGTATGATGAGCATAACCATGAACGTTATCCACCTGGTGACCCCAGCAAGCGCGCATTTGCCTATTTTGTCCTAACAGGTGGGAGGTTCGTCTATGCCTCCTTGATCCGGCTTTTGATCCTCAAGTTTGTTCTCAGCATGTCTGCCAGTAAAGATGTCCTTGCACTTGCTTCCGTAGAGGTTGACCTGTCCAGCATTGAGACCGGCACTACTGTTACAGTCAAGTGGCGAGGAAAGCCGGTTTTTATCAGGCGTCGAACTGAAGATGACATCAACTTGGCCAATAGCGTCGATGTTGGCTCCCTTCGTCACCCGCAAGAGGACTCGGAGAGGGTTAAGAACCCGGAGTGGCTTGTTGTTATTGGGGTCTGCACTCACTTGGGTTGCATCCCCTTGCCAAATGCTGGTGACTTTGGTGGTTGGTTTTGCCCGTGCCATGGTTCGCACTATGACATTTCTGGCAGGATCCGCAAGGGGCCTGCACCATACAATCTAGAGGTACCCACTTACAGCTTCTTGAGCGAGAACAAGCTGCTCATTGGGTGAGAATTGATAAAGAAGGATCATTTTCTGGAGCAGTTTTTCTTTTATGAGATTTCATAAATGATACATTTCTCCGTATCGGAGGAGAACTTGAAAGTTTAGAACTTTCTTATTTTTGCCTGTTGGGACATGCTTTAATTATTCAAATTTTGTATCTGCTGTCCGGTTCAGGACAGGTGTCGTTTGTCTTGAATAATACACAACTGATTTTTTTTTTTTGAGCTATTTAACTCAAATTGGTAGTTCCAGTGATCATAGGAGTTATTAAAGCTGGATAGTGCTGTTTTTAAAACCAACTCTTTTTCACTTTGCTTCCAGAGGTTTGTTGATCTGGGTGTTCAATAAAAAATTTGAATTCTATTTGGTCTCGATCCTCATGGGTTGAAAGCAGAGATGGTTTTCTTTTTCTTACCTCCACCACCAGTTAAATGCAAGATTTTCCATCTTATTAGGAAGTGATAATAACTGCGTAGCTGGCAAAATAGTAAGAAGAAAACAGAGAGATGAAGCTGACTTGTTAAATGAGTAGAAATATAGGATTTACATAGATCAATAATCCAAAACTAATTTCACTGCAGGAAAACGCATTAGACAAATAATTTATGATCTCAAAGTCAAAATGTGGTGTGAGGCTGTGAGCGTACAGAAAATGCCCATTTCGAACCAAATTTTGTCCTATTTCTCACGGCAGGCCTACTATTTAAACAGAAAAATTTGAAAAAAAAAAAGAAAAAATACAAAAAAGAAAGGGGACAGATTCAAGCCTCCATATGTTTCCGGGAGTTGGCTCTCATCAATTTCATTTAGCCGAGTAGAATGAGCTTTTTGTTCTCTCCAAAACATCGTCTCTGAATATTATTGTAAAAATAGGAAGATAAAGGATGCGTTTAAATTGCGTTTCAAAATGATTTTGTTTTTTTACGAAAATAAAAAGGAAAACGTTTTCAATTTCAGACAGAAATTATTTTTAAAAATACGTTTGGTAGTTTTATTAAGAGATTATTTTCAGTATAAAAAACTCATTAATGTCTTTCTTTCTTTCTGCTCGAGAGAGGAGAAAATGAAAATAAAAAATAAAAAACAACTAAAAGTAATTTTTCATTTCTCTATCATTTTACACTAAATCAAAAAATCATTTTTATTTCCGTTTTTTGTCTTTATTGCGCCAAATACCGTTTTAGAAACGTTTTCATTTTTTTTTATCGAAAAACGTGAAAAATAAAAAGGAGATCAATTCTAAACACAGCCAAAGTCTGAGACAAAGAGGTCCAAGAAGAAGCACAACATGATGGGCTCGTTTGGAACTCGTTCCAAAATGATTTTATTTTTTTGTATGAAAATGAAAATGAAAACGTTTTCAATCTCAGACATAAATCATTTTTAAAAATGTATTTGGTAGTTTTATCAAAAGATTATTTTCAGTATAAAAAAACTCATTAATGTCTCTCTCTTTGCTCGAGAGAGGAGAAAACGAAAACAAAAAATGAAAAATGATTAAAAGTCGTTTTTCATTTCTTTCTCATTTTACATTAAACTAAAAAATCGTTTTCATTACCATTTTTTGTTTTTATTGCGCCAAATGTAAAAAACGTGAAAAATAAAAACGAGATTAATTCCAAACACGACCGATAAGTTGGATGGACATGAGAAATGCATAATAAAAGGAAGATTTTCATTTTTATTCCTTTCATTTTTAAGGTTACAAAAAAAATTCATACTTTATATTTAGAATTGGATATTTACAAATAAAAATTTCAATTTATGCTCAATTTTTATTTTTCTCTGTTAATTTGCAATTTTGACTATAAAAAAGATATAACTAAAAAATAAAAAAAAGAAAAAAGAAAAGAAAAGAAAGAAAAGGAAACAAGAACAAATTTAAGAAATATAAGGTAAGGGTTTAACTTTAAGAACAATTTGAAAATTGAAGGTATAAAAATTAATAATATAATTCAAAATAGAAGTTATGATTTTGTGATAAGCTTAAAACACATAGTAGATTTTTTTTTTAATAAAAAAACCAATAATTATTTTTTAAAATAAAACCAATAATTAAAAACGAAACTTTCTTGTATAGAAAAAAATTGAAGTGTTTCTTTTTATTTTGTTTTAATTTTTATTTAAAGATTTATTATTTATTATTTTTTGTATTTAAGGATATTTTGGGTATTTTTAAGTGTTCACCAAGAAATGGTATGGAGGGTATTAAGGATATTTTGGGTATTTTCGATTTTCCTATGGCAATGACGTCGTTCTCCTCCTACCTCCGCCTCCGCCTGCTATTTACTCAACAATGGGTTTCTTTCCTTTGACGCATATTTTCTCAAACTCTATTCTCTAACTGCCCTTTTTTTTTTTTTGGGTGTATATATTCAGAATGCGACCTCAAATTTATTGCAAAATGAGCTCATCATTTTTTGTTACTCGCATACGTGATACTTACATACATAGTTACTAACTACTTTTTGCACCATGACAAGGTTTGCTTTTTTTTTTTTTTTGTCAATTATTTTATTTTTTGGGTGAAATGTAGTCAATTAAATTTGCTCAAGTACATTACTTATTTATTTTAGCCACGATCCATGAAATGAAGAAATGGAATATTGTGGATTCGAGGACTTTTGGGTTAGAGCCAGAATGCTTGTATGTCATGAGATGTCTATGGTATGAAGGTACAATTAATTTGAGAAGAAGTCCTTTTATGTGCACAGTACACTCTAGTGTCTGTGTTTGTACATACATACATACATACATACATACATACATACATATATATATATATATATATAACTGATTAAAAACAAATTCATAAATGCTTGAATGCTAATTACTTCTAACAAACTTCTTATCAGCAAATTCTAACTGAATAATGCCTAAATCTTCAATATGGAAGAATCTCTGTAACTGACTTGACATTAAAATAATAAAACAATCCAGGTTTTAACACTTGGTGGGTGGAAGCGTTAGACATTGGCTTCTTAACAAAACCCCATGTTGTCACCTCTGCTACTAATGACCAGGTAATTTAGTGTTGCTTTAAGATGTGTGTGTGTGTATATATTTATTTATTTAGGTTGCTGTAAAATGCATCGTGTTACATGGTTCAAAGTTTGTCGTTCATTACCCTCATCTTGTTGTAGATCCCGGACTTTTTTGATAGAGTAACTGTTCTTGGGAAAAGATTCCCAATTTGTACGGTCCATCATGAAGGTTTGTTGCTGCACGCACTACATAATATTTCTTTGCAGTTTTGCACTTTGTATCATTTCAAACTTGTTACCTACTCGTCTGATATATGAAACAGGTCTCTAGTTTCCTCACAGAGCCCGCACAAGACGGAGGAGAAGAATGGTCTGATTTCTCCGAGGCGAGAAAAACATGTGGAATCATGCCATTCCTTCGCTGGAGATTCAACGAAGCACCTTGAACCGTGACTTCACAATTAAGTAATTAACAGGTATCTTTCTTAGAAGATGACTGAGGATACAAAAGGCTCTCCTTTTAAGCAGATGCTGTCACTTTATTTACATGGCCCTTTCTCGAACGAAATCCATGATTATCCAAATGGAATTGCAGACTCAAGATGCTTTTGTAGTTTTGGCTTTTGCTTCTATCTTATATCATGGAGACTAGAAAGAAGGTTTTAGGTTTGCGAGCGAAAATGCTCATCAAGTCAAAGTTAATTTTGCACCCGAGCTCTCGAGATACTTCACATTTAAATCAGATGAAGAAGTTTATGGCTTGGCTACTCTTGTGAAAGATTCTATACATGTTTTAACCGACACTGAGAGTCTTTTTGAATCAATGTGCGGCTACTCAACTTCCCCATGCTCTGGTTTGGTAAGAATACGTAATTTGTAATATTATTTCAACCTGCTTATTTGTACAGTCCTTTTGCCTAATTGTCTCATCAAATGACAAAACATTTCAGGTCTCTATACCAGAGAATGTAGGGCAAGATGCTGCGGTAGTTTTTGAATTGCTGGCGAAACATATTGGATGCTGTGAGAAGAGGGGAGAATTTTGATATTGATTGCCACTTGCTTAGGGAGGGAAATTTACGGGAGACGAGATTTGTTCTCGGCAAAGTTATTCTTGAGACCTTGGGCTATACAACTTCCCACAGAGAGGAAGACACCGTCAGGGAGTAGGACAACTCCGTTCGCATAGAGACCATCTATGAAAATTTCAACATGTGTTTTGCTGACGAGAAATGTAAGATTTACATGGATCAGTAACTCAAATTGTTTCCACTGCAGGGAAAAAATCCTACAAATAATAATTAATCTATGATCTCAAACTGTGGTGTGACAGATAATATAGGCCCTTTCGAACCAAATAATATATGCCCTTTTGGAACCAACTTTGTCCTCTCACTGTTATATAGTGTTATAATGTACGCCTACTAATTGAAAAAAAAAAAAAAAAAGGTGGGGAAAAAAGGAAAAGAACCGATTGAAGAGGTCAACAGTCTTGGATGGGAACTAATGGTAGTTTGCCTCCATATGGTTCCGGGAGTTGGCTCTCATCAATTTCGCTTAGCAGAGTGGACTTGAGCTTTTTGTTCTCCACAAACATTATCTGTGAGAAGTTAGATTGAGAGTCCTTATTTGGTATGGTTAGAAAAAATGTTTTAATACAAAAAGAGTTTTCTTTGTGCCATTACCTTCTTTTTGGTATTGCTGTCTATAAATGGGTAGATCATCTTCCAAGCAGTCATGAATATATAAGGCGAATGAACTATAAATAACTTGCCAAGCCTTTCAGGGTAGCAATCCTGTCCAACAAAATTCATATATAAACTCACTTCATACTAGTTAGTTCCTTACTACGACTTGGTTAATTCTAAAATGTGTCTGTTCTAGTTGCCTATACATGTTTAGCATGCTGATGCAATTGGAACAATATCTTAAATTCATGTATAATTTATGGCACCTTGTTAGTGAAACAAACCTGCAAAATTGAAAGAGCTGCTAGGTATCCTCGAATGTCACTGTTAGAATATCCCCATCCTTGAAGATCTGCAATGGATGTAAACTTTTCCTCGCTTCTTGGAATTCTGGAACATTTGCAAACCATCATGGATAATGTTCCATCAAACATGGGACGGAAATGAAAAGGAACTCAAGATTGTTTGTACTGAAAACAAATGATACAAGAAACTGTATCATGAACTAAAAAAGGTCATCTGCTCAAAGCCTCAAGTTACGTCGACCAACCAAAGATAGAGGGACGAGCATCAGTAGGTATCCAATGGATTTCGCCACAAATGTTATATTGCTAAATATTACAACCAATCCAATATAGGTTGAAATTTGATTGGATTGGATCGTAAGGTTGTCTAAATAGATTGAATAATTTGGCCTTATTGTTACCCCTAAGTAAAGGAAGAAAACTAAGACGCAATCTGGAATATTGACCGGCTTAATATTCATGTCACATGCTCAACTTAACACTATGACCGGTTCTAATTCACCCCATCAACCTATTAAAAACCAGGATTTGCACCTCATTTTCTAACTACCTAACCTATAGTCGCCCCTTTATCAACAGACATTAAAAACAAAAAAAACAAAACAAAAAAAAAAAAAAGGAAAAGAAAAGTGGCCAACAAGAGAAGAGTGAGTAGTTGAGTTACCTGGCACATATTTTTTAAAAAAAAAAAAAAAACCCCCCAAAAAAAAAAAAAAAAAAAAAAAAAAAACCAATAATACTCAATGCAATGCAATGCGGGTGTAATGAATATGCATAATTGAAAATGGTTAAAAGTAGTTAGATAGGTGAAGGATACGTCTGAAGTCGTCGACTTTGCCGGGCTTGTGCCGGGCACCAAAAACGACAACAATGGGACGGCCTTGCTTGTCGAAGCCTTGCATAAAGAGTTTGTCGTGAGAGATTTGTTGTGGGATTTCCGAGGCGGAGATGGAGCCGTTCGGCATAAACGACTTCTTCCAGCTCCTGTACTTTAGGAACATGTTTGATGCCTTCTCTATGTCCATGTCCCTCGCTCTCAGGAACCGTCTTAGCTCATAATCATCCACTTCCTGTCGTTTTATCATTATCGTGACTCATAACACAAACGACAACAACTAAAACCAAAAATTGGACTTGGAAGAAACATATATACATGATAATAATAAAAGAGAAAAGGAAAAAAAAAAAAGAAAAAGAAAAAGAATGAAACCTGGGACGAAGAAGGGTCTTCTCTTTGGAGGAGAGCTTTCAAAATGGCAACTTTACTCTTCTCGATTTCATTGAAGTCGGAGCCCACGACGACGATGCTGCTTCTGTTATTGGTTTCATGATCATTTATTCCGTTGTCATTACTGTCTCTGTCTCTGTCGTTTGTATTGACATGGTTGATGTCGTCTTGGTCCATGTTTTGCTTCCACTCCCAGATTCAGGATGATCTCTCCTCCGACGAATTCCGATTGCTTTTGCTCTCTCTCTCTCTCTCTCTCTCTCTCTCTCTTAATTAATTAATTAATTAAAATTATATAGAATAACCATAATGCTCTCAAGTGTGAAGCCTCAGACAAGACAACGCGGAAGAAGAAAAATAAACGAAAGGAGAGACTTTTTTTTTTTTTTTTTTGATAATTGGACAAACGAAAGAAAAGGCAGTTGAGGTCAATTAAATTTAGCTCAGCTGTGCCCACCGACCTCAATGTGCAATCCACCCGAATTTCGGCACGTTACTCTTATATATATATATATTTCTTTTTTCTCTTTTTTTTTTTTTTTTTTTTTTAACGCATAAGGGGTTGAAATTTCAAAAGCTAATATATGTTTCATAAGCCTGCCTGGGTTCTGGTCCTTGTGCTGTGCAGAAAAAAATTGGTGATGGATTGGTTGGTGATGGTTTGGGGCATCATTTTTTTGACTAGTCCTTTTCCAATATGTATGTATGTATGAATGAATGTATGTATGTATGTATGAATGTATGTATGTATGTATGGGGATCTAATCATACTGTGTGTGAACCTCAATTTCCAGTCCCATTACTCCCTACGTTGTCCATTCACTTCATTTTGAAGTGACCCGAAATTGATATGCATCTGCCTCAGAATAAATTTTCATAAGATTCTCTCTCTCTCTCTCCCTCCTTAATAATATGAAATTTCTTTAGCTGTTACGAAAATATCTATAGTCTACAGAATACTAGAATATATATTTCAACAATCATATTTTTATCAAATTTCGTTGAATTATTATATTTTAAAATAGTCAAACTATCATCCAACTTGAAGGTTTTCCTCCAAAAAATTTAAGAGGACTATGCACAAACTTAATTAAACTTTATGACGGACGATTTTGTGTTATTGAATATCTTCTCTTTTTTTTTTTTTGGAGGGTTGTTATTGAAAATTCTTGAACTCAACGACGCGTTGTTTGAAGCTAAATGAACAGTTAACATGTCGTTTTAAGATAAATAATACAAGTGGAAGCATGTCGTTTAATTCTAACTGGACGACATGTCGTTTACATACAAGTAAACGATATTCGTTTAACTATGGATAAACGACATGCGTTTAAAACAAAAACTCCCTGTTCCTTCCGTTTACACGCAACGCAAACGAGTAACGATAACACGTACTCTTTAATTTTTTATAAAATAATAATAATAATAATAATATGTCGTATCTTTTGAACCGATTAGGAGAGAATACGTCGTTTTTTTTAATCAAATAGAGGAGGAGCAATTTTGTTGCGACTTGCGAGTGAGATGGACTTGTCATCAAACTGGCAAAGCAAATGAAGCTTTCACAGTTTGTTTGCTGCAAAATTACATATCAAAACATTTTCTGTTTTAAACCTTTTAAACCAATAAAAAAAGAAAGAGACAGACACAAAAGAATCTTCCCCGTTTCTTAAAGCAATTTCCGACTACCTGAAATGAAAACCTCCATTTTTGTTATTCCATTCATATTTCATCATATTAAAATTAAGAAAAAAAAAAAGAAAAAACAAAAACAAAGACCTTCACTCTAAGAAAGCTTCTCAAGTCTCAACTACTACCCACACGACGTCCCAACCATCTTATAATTTCTTCAAACTTGCATATATTAAAATTATTTTGTATATATATTAGACTTACACCCTCTCTGCCACTCACAGGCCATTTCTCGTTTTCTTCTTCTCAACCAACCAACCGGCATTGGACAAAATGAGGAATATTTGCATGTGGGTTTTGCTTCTTCTACTAGTTTCTGTTTTTTCTCTCGGAATCCATGCTGATCATCGTGATGTCCGTACCGAGAGAATTTCAGGTATGTAATTTTTTGCGTGTGTTTATTTATTTATTTATTTATCTATTTTATTTTCTTTTCTTTTCACTTGAACTTTGTCTCTAAGCTGTTGTTCTAATGTGGACTAGAATTGTATGAAGTTAGCATTTTTGCGTCTAGTTGCTCCATTTGTTGCTAATTTTGCGTTGACTAATTGTTAAAAAGTTAAAAGGATACTGATATATTTTTGTCGACTAATTAGTTCTGTATAAATTAATCTTAAGCGCAATGCATATATATATATTTCACACAAATTATCTTGAGTAGATTGGAACTAAAATGGAAGAATGATACAGGAAGCAACCCTGGCCCAATGCGTTTCCATTGAGTATTTGTCTTCAATTTATACATTGTGTTGCCCCAATATTATTTTATTTGCCACCTCTGAAAAAGTTTTTAGTTCTAAAGTTTATGTATGCTTTTCTAGAAAAATGTTCAATTATGCTCCTAGTTCTTCCTTTATTATACCTCATTTTCAATTTGAAAAACCCAAATAAACCAAAGTCCCACTAAAGTGTATGTATAACCAAATGGAATTTACTGATTAATGATAACAGGAAGTGCTGGTGATGTATTGGAAGACAATCCAGTAGGAAGGTTGAAAGTTTATGTGTATGAGCTACCAAGCAAGTATAACAAGAAAATCCTTCAGAAGGACCCCAGATGCCTCAACCACATGTTTGCGGCCGAGATTTTCATGCACAGATTCCTCCTCTCCAGCCCTGTTAGAACTCTTAATCCTGAGGAAGCAGACTGGTTTTACACTCCTATATATACTACTTGTGATCTCACTCCCAATGGCTTGCCTTTGCCCTTCAAGTCTCCGAGGATGATGAGAAGTGCCATTCAGCTCATCTCTTCAAACTGGCCTTTTTGGAATAGGACTGAAGGCGCTGATCACTTCTTTGTTGTTCCCCATGATTTTGGAGCCTGCTTTCATTATCAGGTCAAATTGAGATGCCCTCCCTTGTACTAATGCTATCTTTCTTTCCATGACTCTTTCTTGGGCAAAAGCTTTATGTTCTACGGATATCGTGCAGGAAGAGAAAGCTATTGAGCGGGGAATTCTTCCGTTGCTCCAGCGTGCTACTTTGGTTCAGACTTTTGGACAAAGGAATCACGTGTGCTTGAATGAGGGCTCAATCACCATTCCTCCGTACGCTCCACCTCAAAAGATGCAAGCCCACTTGATTCCCCAAGACACTCCCCGGTCCATCTTCGTCTACTTTCGTGGTTTGTTTTATGATGTTAATAATGATCCTGAAGGTGGTTACTATGCAAGGTATGTTTGATGCAGAATTTAGGGAGTTTGTAGATTGCTGTATGTAAAAGTCATGGAATTTTTATTTTTATTTTAGATGTTATTTTCTTGTTAGCAGAAATAAAGCCTAATATTCATGGATTCCATCTTAACATGGTATCTTGACTTAAAAAATAACGTCATTCTATCCAACAAAGTCACCAAGATGTCATCAATGGCTAATGTAGGATAAGACAATGCTTGAATTTCTGTCTACTTAGATCTTCACATTTGATGTTTCACCATAACTATCTCAAAAGAGAGACTAGTACTACCTCTTTGATTCAAGTGGATATATGTTGGTTATATACTATAATATATATGAGATAGGAACGAGACAATATTCTGTATGTATCATTGATTCATGGCCTTGTCCTCATTAATTTAGATGGGAATTATCATTTATTGTTTCAGACAACTCACTGAATTTGGATAACAGGGGTGCTAGAGCAGCCGTGTGGGAGAATTTTAAGAACAACCCTCTGTTTGACATCTCAACTGATCACCCAACCACGTACTATGAAGACATGCAGAGAGCCATATTCTGTTTGTGCCCTCTGGGGTGGGCGCCGTGGAGTCCTAGGCTAGTTGAGGCAGTGGTGTTCGGGTGCATCCCTGTGATTATAGCCGACGACATAGTTTTACCCTTTGCGGACGCTATCCCTTGGGAGGAAATAGGAGTGTTTGTGGCGGAGGAAGATGTGCCAAAGCTAGATGAGATCCTCACATCCATTCCGCCGGAAGTGATCTTGAGGAAGCAGAGGTTGCTTGCAAATCCTTTCATGAAACGGGCAATGATGTTCCCGCAGCCTGCACAGCCTGGCGACGCTTTTCATCAGATACTGAACGGGCTAGCTCGCAAGTTGCCTCATGACAAGAGTGTCTACTTGATGCCTGGTGAGAGGGTTTTGAATTGGACTGCAGGGCCTAAGGGGGATTTGAAACCTTGGTGAATTGCATTGCAACTATACTTCCATTTGTCTAGCTAGTTCCCAAAGTTATACCCGGTTGAGAATTTCTTGGTTGTAAATCACTTTCTCTTTTTTTTTTTTTTTTTTTTTTTTTGTGAAGAAAAGTTTGAAATTTTGTAGAGATGCTTGTACTTCCATTTGTTGATATGAGGTAGTTAACACACACGCGGACTGGATATGCTTAGTTTTCTCTTGGGCAGAAAACAGGAGTTACCCAAAGGAAAAATAAACTACTATTTGATTCAAACATGTTTAGTTCCATTCACTTCGACCTTTCAGTTAGTGGTCCGTTAGAACATAATTATTAAAAAAAATACGTCTTTTAGCATTGTTGCAACGAATATATGTCGCGTAAATTAGAGTATTATATATATATATATATGTATGTATGTATAAAACTGATGTTGGTGTGTGATTGTGAGGAGGGCAGAGGTGTGTGGTGATGGCAAATTACAAAGAAATTCCACTTAAGAAATGAGAGGAATGTATATCATTCTTTACGTTGTTTGAAGGGGCATATAATATTTGCACACACCACAAGACAACTACTGATGAATGGTTTTCGGGTTAACCCTTGAGCTATGATAAGGGTCGGATATGTTGATTAGAAAAAAAAAAAAAAGAAAAAACCCTAATTAGAATCATAAAATTAAACATATGGAGAAAAGATAAGGTAAGCGTAAGGCAAGAGTTGAAGCAAAACTCTCCTGTGTCTAAATGGACAGCGGTTTTGAGCATTTTGGCGTTACACTGTCTCGGTTTTGTCCGACAACTACTCTTGGGTGTGCTTGGATGCATATGGAAATCTTAATATGGAAATGTTAGTAGAGTGATAGCCAAAATGAATAACAATTAAATGCGTGATTTTTGAGATACATAATCAGCTGTGGATATTATTTCTAGGTGATTTTGTAGTTACTAGTTACACAAGTAGATATTGAACATTTTGGCATCAGTTAATTCTTGGCAAAGTCATTCACACATTTCTTATTCTCTCTAATTATCAAAAATCCCTTTGTGGTAAATATAGATGTATATTAGGGTTATTTACAAAAATAACACAAATTACAATAATTATGTTAGGATTATGATTAACTTTTCGTATTTTTATTTTAACACTGTCACATTTTAAGAACTTAACGCATGTATATTATTGAGAACTCTAGATACGTTTTCCTTCTCTTCTCTCTCTTTTCCCCGCCGCCCCTCCCCTCTCTCTCTCCCCCCTTTCTTAAACACCATCTTAGCCCAACTCCAGACATTCTCCGTCCAGCAGCAGTAACATGATCTTCACGAAGACAGGCTTGACCTCTTCTACTGGCTTTTGGCTGCTCTAAGCCTCGTCTACTTTTTGAATTACATGATATTCCCCTCCAGAACCATCAATAATTGGTGTACCCACTGCTGCTGCTGCTGCTGGGCAATAAGGACAAGTATTTGAAAACCACAACAACAAGCATATTGCTACTACTGTTTGATCCTATTAATATATATTAATCATGTAACTTGCAATTCATGAACCATATTAATATATATTTACAATACGTACTAATTATTCATGTGGTAGAATTATGATCTAGGTATATATAATAACATTATATATTGACTCTCGCAATTAACTTAAGAGTGACTCATTATAGCTTAATTAGATACCATATAATGATCATTCTTTCGCTGGCCCTGTATAAATTTCTCTGACGAAAGGTCCAAGTGCTCTTTATTAACCAAAAAATTGTGTAAATGTGGAATAAAATAGTTGAATTAGTACACTACGTTAATTTTTTATACGACCAATCGGTAAATTTTGTAATGATCATAATCAATTTTTCGAATAAAACTACCTAAGTTATTCACTAACTTTTTTTTTTTAAGATTCTATTGTTAATTTTTTCATTTGATGCATAAACGGTAAAAAAATCCTACTACTTGTAAAACTAAATAATTTAATTAGTACACTACAGTAATTTCTAAAATGACCACTCAGTAATTTTTGCAATGACCATAATCAATTTTTTGAATAAAAAATGCCTAAGTTATTCACTAATAACTTTTTTTTTTTTAGATTCTACTGGTAGTTTTTTTATTTGATGTATAAGCAGTAAAGAAATCCTACTACCAGCAGGACAAAGTAGTTGAATTGACACACTATAATAATTTCTGTAATGACCATAATCAATTTTCTGAATAAAAAATGCCTAAATTATTCACTAAACAACTTTTTTTTAGCCACCGTAGCAGCATATTTGTGCTTCATAATTCTTTTAAAATGGAATTAAAAAAAAATAAACAAACAAGACATCAAAACATCAAATATACTCATACCAAAAGTTCAAAATTCCAAAGTGCGAAGACAAATGTGTAACCAACATTAAAAGAAATCTTGAACAATGTCGACAATCCACGTTTCAGTGGATAAGTTAGTAATAGAGTACTCAAACTGATCCGCCGGTCGAGGTTAAAAAAATAGGTAAACTAATAAGTCAAGAGCCACCTCTCACCTCTCTATGTGCCACCTCTGCATTACGGATCTTAAATTCCATCAAGAATCCAACGGGTATTCTCTTGGCCTTCCGACGTCCTATAAAACATGCATAACTCACAAATCTAAAATAAGAAACCTTGAAAAAAGAACGTTTGAATTGTGTATCTAAGAGAACTAATTTGAAAGTTAATTTAGCATTAAAATCCCACTCATGAAAAAAAAAAAGTTTAGCATATGATGTTAGTAATCACTATTATGACCACTAGTAATTATGATAATTACTATATGAGTCACAACGATAATTACCGTTAGTCACTATCGTAATGACTACTTGGTAAACGAAAATTATTTGTCGTGTTTAAAATTGTTCTTATTTTTATTTTTCACGTTTTTCAAGAATAAAAAAATAAAAATGATTCCAAAACGGTGTTTAGCACAATTAAAGACAAAAAAGAGAAATGAAAATGATTTTTTGGTTTAGTGTAAAATGATAGAGAAATAAGTCATTTTTTCATTTTTTATTTTCGTTTTCTTCTCTCTTGAGTAGAGAGAGACATTAATGGGGTTTTTTTATACTGAAAATAATATCTTGATAAAACTACCAAACACATTTTTAAAAATGATTTATGTCTGAGATTGAAAACGTTTTCATTTCTATTTTCATACAAAAAATGAAATCATTTTTGAACGAGTTCCAAACACACCTATTGTTTTGCGAACATAATGATGCTCACAAAGTAAATCTAACTGATATTCCATTTATTATTCAAATTGGAAACAAATTTGACCAATTGCTTCCCTCAAAATCATAACCTAGACGTTTTTTTTTTAAGATTCTTTACCATATTTGTGGAAAAAAAAGTTAAAGTGCTCTTTATTAACACTTCTAAATGAGGTTGTGGCGCGTATTAGATGTAAATTGAGATTAAACGCCTCTAGAAAATATATGCAACTTGTTCATATAAGGAGAATGGGAGAGAGAGCGGAGAAAGAAAGAGAGGGAGTGAGAAAAAATGTGGGAGCTTAAATGAACAGAGAGAAAGAGAAGGTGAGAAAAAATTGTGAGCTCAAATAAAAAGAAAGAAATAGAAAATATATATGTAATTTGTTTAAGTGAGGAGAGAGAGGAGAAAGAAAGAGAAAATATGAGAGTTCAAATGAAGAGAGAGAAAGAGAAAGAGAGAAAAATGATAGAGTTTAAATGAAGAGAGAAAAATTGAATAGAGAAACTGAAATATGATATTGAATGAATAATTTTAACAATTTAACTTTGTGAGTCTTTTAATTACTGATGTGATAGTGTTAAAAATAAAAATATAAAAAAATAGTGCTAGTTATAAAATAATTATTGTAATTGATGTTATTTTTATAAATAACCCTATATATTACTTTATGAGAAGATTAGAGATATTTAAGATAATTACAAGGACGGGAAGGTTAGTTTGACCAAATGTCCACCAGCTCTTAATCCTAGATCACCTCGTTAAGCCTTACCAAAATATTTTTTTTTAATATGTATATGTATATAGACGAAGAGATATGTTTTTCGGCTCATAATTGTATTTCTATATGCGTACGTATGAAAGGAGGAAAGTGCAGTACTACATAATAATATATGGACCATATGGCCGTATGTCTCCTAATTCACTTTACAAATTTAAAATTTTAATTTAAGTTAAAATATAATATTTTTTAAAAAATTTTAATTGTAATAAAAAAATTAAATGTAATATTTTTAAAAAAATTTTAAATATAAAAATTTAAAATTAAAAATTAAAAATAATAAAATAAACGACACCTAAAACTTCAAATGCTCGTTTCCTCGGTAGAGGTGAGGTGGCTTTCAAGGTTACTAGTTATTACTTATCACAAGTCGCATCTTCTCTCTCTCTTTTTTTTTTTTTGTTTTGGAAAAATAAAAAAATGGGGAAAATGGAAAAAATGGAAAGAGTTCTACATTATACATATACTAAAGGAGAGGGCGGGATTCACTGTTCATGCTACAGTACAATGAACAGTGTATTTCCTGTTTTAACCCTATTTTTTTGTTTTGTTGTAATTTTAATTACCCTTATGTCCCGTTTGTAAAATTACCATATTGCCCTCTATTTCAGTTTCTACTGTGACCATTTTGGTCATTTACTGATTCTTTTACTTATTTCGTTTGTTTTCCTTTTATTCACTTTCTTTCATTTTTTTTGTTTCTGTCTCTCTCTCTCTCCTTCATCCACTTTCTTCCGTAACTCTCTGGAATCTTCTTCTTTAAAACTAAGCTAGGGTTTTTTCCCCCATTTTTCGTTTGTTGATTTCTATTTTAGTAGGTAAATTAACACCTCAGATGGCGAAAGAATCATCGTATGCTCCAGAAGATAGATTATTATGAGCCATACTTGGCATTCAGATATCCATTTCAAAGGAAACTTGTCTAAAACTACCTATAGGCGGTAGAGGTCGAGTTATTGATGTGAGATGGATCCAGAAAAAGGGGGGTTCTAGTTATAATCCAGAAACGATTCGTGTATATATTTCACAAAAACGTGAAATCAAAGTGGGCGATAAAGTAGTTGGA